GCTCTTCCAGGCTATCTGGGTCTCTGTGCAAGATGGCTCTCCCTTGTGACATGTCTACCTCATCACTCAGCTTAGTGTCATCAGCAAATATGGTGAGGGTGCTTTCAATCCCATCATCCAGGTAATTTATGAAGATGTGGAAACAACATGGGGCCTGGTGCCAGTCCCTGAGAGGCCCCACTTGTGACAGACTGCCAGCATGTTTTAGTTAGCAACTACTTAGTTCAGTTGAAAAACTTCAGGCAATTAAGTTCTGTTTCAATTATTTGAAAGGTTATAAAGTAGAGATGTAACTGTGATGTTCCTGAATCTCCAGCCTGCATCTTACATTTTCTGTAAGAATATTTTATTTGTGCTCTTAATGCCACAGCCTGATCTGCTTAGTGAGTAGCTGATCAAGCTGTATTGCTGATATAGCATGCCCTCACTTTTTTAAACTGTGGTGCCAAGTTCTTTTCAAATCATAAAGATTTGGTCTGTGGGTTGCTGTGGGTTGGTTCCCCCCCCCCCCCCCCCAACACAAGCCTCTTGGATATTCAGAGATTACTTCAGCTCACAAAAGGGATGTAAATAGTAGTCCTAAGCAGGTAACGGTCTTGCTGGCATTCTGCAAGCCAAATAACGAGCAGAGAGTTGCAAAGAAAGGGCTATATGTAAGAGTGAAGGCACAAGATAAAGGATAATCGCTAAAAGATGTCCTGGAAGACATGCCTTGGTACCTAATGACAACAGTTGAAAATCCAATTTACAGCACAAAAGCAGTTTCTTCTGTTAGAATTATCAGGAAATGAAGACGACAACACTGAACTAAAGCAGGAGTTCTGAGAAAAATTACTAGAAATATAGATGAAATGAACATTTATTTTGCACTATTATTCAATCAGGCTGATCTGTGTAAAGTTTATACAGTAGGCAATAGTAGCTATTTTCTTTTTGGTTTTTTGGGGGTAGTATTTAATGATATGTATAGTTTTAAAAAATTCCATATATTTTTTTTTTTTTTGTTCACGGGAGAATTGTATCATCTGTGCACTTTGTTCACTGTAGTGTCTGTTTATGCTCAAAAACTATCTATGCTTGTAGTTTGGCTTAAAAACAAAGAAGATTACAGTGTACTGCTGATATAGTATGCTAAATAAATTTATCCTGATGCGTAATGTGATTGAAAAGTTATTTGCAAATATGATGTGAATTAGTACAGCTTTTCTAGCTAATCACAATTATTACTTCTCTAACTTACTGAATAAAATACTGTAAGAAAGCTGAGACACATCAGCTTGAAAATTACAGTTGTGTAAGGGAATAGGCTAAAACTGTTTTTAATTGAAAAGTGAACTAGTTTGAGTACAATTCTGTGGCTTTCATTTCTTTTAAAGTCTCCACATTTTCACTGGGACTAGAATTATTTGAGGTAAGTGGTTAATTATATGGGAATGCTTGGGGAAAAGAAGTGAAAAGCCTTTTTTTAATGAAAAATGTAATTAGTGCTGTAAAATGGAAGGAAAAAAATTGAGTGCTGAGATAGGAATTCTAGAACACTCAAGTTTTTGGTAAAGAGAAACCAACTCGATAAAATTCCACTGCCTTTTCCACATATGTGGGAATGATGTTTGCTACCCACTTTTTTCCAAATGTGCTCAACTGCACAAACAAACTGGTGAATTGCTACTGAGATTTGTTGTTCTTAATTTGTCTGTAATACTTACTGAAATTGATGAATACTCATAAAGTCTTTTTGCATGACTGTTTGCTTATAGGACACTGCTCTTCAAAAACCAAGAGAAGTTTTTAGGCTACCTACAGACTTGACAGCTTACGACAATCGCCTTTGTGCCTCAATACACTTCTCATCTTCCACATGGGTTACCCTTTCTGATGGTACAGGAAGACTGTATTTGATTAAATCAGGCAAGCGTGGAAACAGTGCATCTGAGAAGTGGGAGGTAAGTCTTGCATTAACATATTTAAGAACTGTAGGTCTACCAAATAATTCTTACTCTTGAATTTCATATGAGAATTGCATGTATGTAATGTTGTGAAGAACTAAGCTTTAAATCATGACTCTATCACTGATAGGGGATTGTGATCAAGTATGAAAATCATTATTTTTATACGAATGCCTAAATTACTGATTTCTTTAAGCACAAAATATCTCAGATTCAAGTGTTTGAAAGTGAACATCTCTTTTAACTGAAGAAGAATCTGTCTGTCTAAAAGTGTTTCTGAATCGGTGGCTAAGTGCTTGTCTACCTGAATTTTTCTAAAAACTGTTTCCCCTTTCCCTTCCCTATTCATATGTGTCTGTCTAGGATTTTTTCTCCCCATTTTTTATTGTTTGCTGTTTCAACTGTCTTGTGGAATAATATATATTTTTAAAAAAAGTCTGAAGTTATTGTCAACCAAGCTAAAAGCTACTTTTGTTTTTAAGTTAGGAAATTTCTGGTTTGTGTGATGTTTGTCTGTGTAGATGTAATTGTGCTTGAAATATTCACCATTTATTTTGCCCCATCTTAAAAATACATCCACAGAGACTAGAATAAAACTTAAACAAAACTGCTGATTAAAAAGTTTTGATAAGTAACCCTGAGGGTTACCTGCAGAGCCAGTATAACGTAAGCAATATTGTTTCCACCTCTCTGGTAGGGAAAATCTTCATACTGTGCACTTAGCTCTGGAAAATTGTTGGTGCTTATTATTTTTATTTAAGATTGTTGGTTGTAGATGAAGTATGTTTTTGTTTCTTGTGATAAAATTCTTTACATGATTAATTCTTTTAAAGAGTCTTGATAAGGAGCATTTTTTGTATCCACATCAACATGATCTTACTACAGTGATAATGGTATATTAGTTATCCTGCTTGGACACAACAAATGTAACTAAGTTACATTTCTACCTGAGCTACTGTGAATCTCATGGTCTCTGGTTAGTTCCTCTTTATTAATGAAAGACTAATCTGGTATAAAGTGCCCACATTTTGCATCTATTTTCTTTACTAGAGTGTGGTTTCCTATGCAATCAAGGAGGCTTCAGTATTGGCAGAAACTCAGGTGTATGTCATGAAGTGGAAGATTTCAGCATGATGGATTAGTTCCTTCCCCTACTTTAGAGTTCAGTAACTCAAAATTGGTCATCCTGTTCTTTGGATGGTTGGTAATAAATACCAACTGGTTTTTATTCTGTTCTGTGTGAGAATGCAGATACATAAATAAGTTGCATTGGAGTTGTCAGTGTAACAAAACCATGACATTTCTGTGTTGAGGTTCTGTCACCATTTAAATTCACTTTTTGAGTATTTATTGCACCCCGTGGTTTACACTGATGTTAACATCCCAACCCCAGAAATTGTAAAAACTTTATCAGGTTCCAGTAACAACAGCTGGATTGAGCCTATACTCATTCAGACACTGCAGTCTGAATTCCTTGTCATTTAGTCTTTCATCTTCTTGTGTTAATGTTCTAGCAAATAAAGAGTGTTTTATTTCTTCTTCTTCTTCTTTGCTGTTTGGATTAATTTTGTTTTTATCTTCTTGGGGTTTTTGCTGAATAAGTACTTTTTTGAGAAAAGCTGAAACACATAGTTTCTAGAATTAAAACTTTTAGCTGTAGGTCCCAACAGTTGAACTTCTCAAGCTATGAGACGTGCAGTCCTTCTGTATGAAATTATTTCATGTTTACAGTGATGCTTATTAGCCTTTCAGTATGACAATAATACTTGCTCTGCCTACCTAGTCCCATTCAAGTATGGATGGACTTTTCAAACCATATACATAAAAATTCAAAAACTTCTCACCCTAGCTCCTCCTATACATTAATATTATACTCCTTCATATAGTTATAGGTTTTTGGTTTTTTTTGGTTTTTACTCCCCTTCATAAAACTTTTTAGAGAAGGAAAATTGAATCTCTTTGTAAAGATTTGCCAAATAAAGCAAGCCCCCCTCCCCTCAGTACTGGTTGATGATTAAACACTGGCAGCAATGCACTGGACCTTTTTACCTTCTCATTTGCACATGTCAAGACCTACAAAGATTTTCAGGACATTGGGGTGTCTAGAGAAGTAGTGAGGGCTTTGGTGAAATGTCTGCATATTCATCTTGAGTGTGAGACTATTTTTCCCAGTTGATATGCTGTCTTTATGGATCCTGTTCTGTTCATGAGTTGTTGTCTCTCTGCTGTAGTAGTAAACAGCCATAATGCAGAGGGCTTTGTGCAGTGGTCCCTAATAATGTTTTTATAATACAAACAATAATAATTAAAGCATTTTAGAACAGTGGTTTGATAGCCAAGGAGGGAGAAACCAGAAACATAACATAACAGAGTTATGTATTCATATTGGCAGAGAGGTTTGTGGGAAGCAAACTTTAACTTGTTTGACATTCGCTGAAGTCTTTCGCTGCTTTCTGAGAGAGCAAGACTTCCAGATTTAACTGATTGACTTTTTACTATGATTTTGTCTTCTAGATTGTGTTTAATGAAGAACTAGGAAGTCCATTTATTATAGCACACAGTGTTTCATTTGTAAAATCTGATACGCATTCAGTAGCTGTGCTGCTGCTTAGGGTAGAAAAAGATGAATTGGACACAAAAGGCAGTGGATTTCATATTACCTTGGAATGGGTTACAATTGTAGAGATAAACAGAGAGGGTAAGTGTTTAATATTACTGGTGAGTAACATTTAAAAAATAAAAGAAAACAAAACCCATGCTTTTATTCTTTGTCTTAGAAGTTGATTGTTCCTCAGGTTCTGATATTTCTTTTCCCCAAAACTTTAGCTTGGATTTTATATAGGTAACTTTTAGATATATTTTGAGATCAAGTTATCAGTTGTAGACCTACATTCTGACAAACATTTGGAAGACAGGAGGAAGTAAAGTTTTATACCTGTGTGTTTAATGTAATTGGAAAACAAGATCAAACTTTACTTTGTTATGAAATGCAATTGCTGTTTAGCTTGTAAAATCAAGGTTATATTGAACTATTTCTCACTAATGTCTGTTGTACTTTTCAAAATGTTTAGAGCTGGATATGGGTTTTTTGTTGGTTTTTTAGCCTCCAGTTAACAGTGTCATGGGATTGGAATTAGGATGAGATAAATATGAGAACTGTAGCATAAAAAGTAAAAACTGCATATTCTAGGTTTTCCTAGAATATGAGAGTATGAAGTTGTTCAGTTAATTTTAGACCAACACATTAAAAATATATTTGTTAGTGTATTAATACCTACTAATTAATGTATTATCCTGATGAAGTTTGACAAAGGGTAATTTATCTGTTCAATATGACCATATATACTTACATTAAATATGAAGATTTCTATAAAGAATGCAAGACACCATGCTTCAGTGTCTGTTTTAAGTATCTGTGGATGAAATTAACTTACCTTTTTGGGACGACTGTGATATGATCTCATTAATTATCTTGCAAAAACTCTTAATTTTGATACTGATAGAAACAAGGTCTTTAATTACTTCTTGAGTTTTTTACAGCAGCAGTTTCTTTAACTTCTCAAGTTCTTACAGCAGCTCAAAAAGTACTTGGAAAACTTGTTTGTACAGAGGCTGTGAGTGGTTTTGTGAATTGCTGGTCTAGCTGTGATCAACAAAGACGTAAGAAAAAAGGGCAATGGTACATTAATTTTAGGGTCTACATATTTAACAAACTCATTGGAAAATAGAAGAGAAATTTCTTTTTAAACTATCTTACTGTGATTTAACTGGTAGAACCGCTTAGTATTTTTAAGTATAATGAGATTCTCATATAAAAATTTGTCTTCTAGAACACTAAGATTTTATATTTTTTAATTTTATAGGTGATCATAGATATGAAATCTTTAAAAGGAGAGTTTTACAAGGAAAATCAGTCCCCCATTATGCAGCAATAGAGCCGAGTGGGGATGGTCTAATGATTGTTTCCTACAAACCTTTCAAGTTTATGCAAGATGAAGAGGACAAATTAGAAGAAAATGATGATGCAAAAGCAGCAAATGAAAAGAAAGGTAATTATGGCTTTATGATAGGCTGCCCTCTTTTAACTTAGAAAATAGCTTGTCAGTGTAGCATCTGTTTGGATATGCTAGCAATAAATGTTTGTCTTAATATCTATCTTCCAGATTTTTTTTTGTAAGGTCAGTTTGGCTTTTTTTTGTTTGTTTTCACCCTGTGAAGTTGCATAAATCTATATGAGATGCTTTTTTGGATAGGAGACACTTAAAGAATTTTGTTGTCCTAAGAAAAAGGATATTCTGCAAACAGAACTATACTAAGTATTTGCTAGTTGGATTACTAAGGTAACAGCTAAATTTAGGCATCTGGCTGAAGTACTCAGATTAAGAAGCCAGTCTTCCTAGATGAGAGTGTGGCACCCATTGACATCCCCATAGTTATTCATCAGAAAGCTCTCTGATATGTAATTTACTCCTGCCTTTCTAAATTTAAAAAAAACAAACAAACAACAAAACAACTAAACCACCACCTTTTTTCTTTTTAAAAAATGAGAATCCTGTAAAAGATTATCTTGTATCCAGTGGGTGAGCAGTTCAGAGAAAATAATAAACTTCAACAAAAAGCATCTGTACTTTTTTTTCTTTAAGATCAAACCAAAATTAAGTATGTAAAAACCTGTTAATAAAGTTGTTCTTTTTAAATACCACTGACCTTTGTAATATGTATGTCTATGTAGTTATATTGTATTATTTCAGATTTGGTTTTTGCTTCTGAATATGAGGCATAGGTTAATGAACCAATCTTAACTGAATGATACTAGCACAATCTTTGTCAATGGTGCAAAAATCTGTTTGGGAAACGATATGAAAAGATTAATTTTCTGGGATGTGTGAATGTTACACACTGTGATAACTGTGACGTTGTACATGTAATTGTATTAAGAATAGTCTGTACATGTAAATCTTGAGGCAAAGGACTTCTTCAGTGCACTGAGCATAAGGAGATGTCATGCAGTTGTCATCGGAATTAGCTAGTTCAATGTTTGAAGGATTTTAAGAGCTGCTTGAGTTCTGTGCTAGGTATGATTAAAGAAACACAATAAAAAGCACTGTATGGCTCTTAGCATAGCTCATTTCATGCAGGTATGGGCACATATGGTGTTGCCAAAGCTCGTAAATCTGTAATGTGTGGAATGCTGTTTGCAGCAATACCTTTAGAAAACTTCTCATGGCACAAAAATCTAACTGTAGAGAAAGTACTGAAACCTGAACTCCTAGTTTAGAGGGAAGTCTAATACCTCTTTAAGAGATAATTTGCCTTTTGCTGAACCTAATGTAGTCTATCATTTTAGTTGCATGGTTGTATAAAATTGCAGGCATAATAGACACCAGATAATGAAACAAAGTGTGCTAGCAATAGAACCCCAAATTTTTATAGGGGTTTACAACAGTAGGTAAAGAAATACTAAGTCAGTTAAGTTGAACATTGGTATTTTGCTTTATAATTTGTTCTCTCATGGTCTCCTGTGCACATTTTTGACATTATGAGAAGGCTGTCTTGAAGATGGGGGAGAGGGAAAGTCTAAGCTACTTTTTCGGTGTCATTCAGTTTTCTTATAAATGAAGACTTTTAGTATCAGATATCTGTGTCAAAGATTAGAATTTTGAAGGCAGTCATCTCTCAGATACTAACTGAGACAGATCCATTGCAAACAGGAAACTGGTGGTAACGGGCAACAGTGGTAAGAGTCCTTCCAGAGTTGTAGTTGCTGACATGAAGCTTAAATCAAAAAAATCTTGTGTTGTGACAACTTGCAAGCTTCCAAAGGGTCTATCCGTACTTTACTTTTCCTCTAAATAGGAAGGTAACATGTACAAGATTGCTCTTTGGAAAACGAATTCACCTGTATTTGTGTTTTCTATGACCAACTGTGCACTACCCAGTCTTGCTGTCATAGCCTTCCTTTTGTATTTAAAAGGCCACTTCTTGTCTATCTTGATTATTAAACTGCTACATCAGGTGGATTCTAGACTCAGGAGCAAAGTCAGTCATTATCTCTGGGCAGGTGGTTTTCTTTCACCTCCATCAACTGAGGCAGATGAAGACCACTTGGTCTTCTAAAATAATTTCTGTTGAATAGTCAGTGTAGGTAACTGTGACAAAATAGGTAAGAAAAAAATGTTCACATATCTGAATGGTATATACTTCTGAACATGCAGTAGCTTGTCAGTACCACTGCACCTGATATTTCTTCAACCAAATTATTAATCATTAATGTTTCAGTGTATTTAATTACTTTTTTGTTATCAAATTTGTAATGCTACAATAAACTTAGATTATATTTAAGCAATAATTAATTGCCCATTGTATAACTCTATCAGTATATTTGAGTACAGATATGAATATAAATTGCTTTGCAGATGAGGTACACAAATGGACTTGATTGCTAAAAAATATTTCTCCATTTTATAATCAGAATATATTTTTTGTAAATTGTTCAGAATAAAAGTTAATTTCCACTCTTCCACAAACTTCTATTCTGAATCTCCCAGTATTGCATGCTGTGGAATCTAGGACAGCATTTGTAACTTAGCTTGTATTTTTTCTTCATGTTTCCAATTGCAGACCCTCTCTATTACTGGCAGCAGACTGAAGACGATGTGACAATAACGATTCACATTCCTCAAGATGTCACAAAGGATGATATAAAAGTACGCTTTTCCCCTGATAACGTATGTGTTACACTGAAAGACCAACCTCCTTTGATGGAAGGAAAACTCTATTCGTCTGTGGACCATGAAAGCTGCACATGGATAATTAGAGAGAATAAAAGGTGTTGTATATGGGTTTTAGTTTTCCTATTGATTGGAATTGATTTCAAAGTGTGTACCATATCTCTGACTTGTGGCCCCACTGGGAATGGACTCATTTAATGCTACACCCTGCATCCCTCCTCACAAGAATCTATCTTCTCCGCTGAAAATAGTTCACTGGCTTTTGCAATGCTGTCTCAAAATACTGTTTCTTTAGCTAATTGTGAAAGTAATCCCCTCCTTGTACAGTTACTTTCTTATAAGCTACATGACCAGCTATTTTCTACAATGTAGAACAGCCTTTCCAAAATAATCAATTTTTTATTTCAGAAAAAAAGGCATTACGTATAACTTTGTGCTGACAGCTATACCTGTATCAGACCAGGAAATTAAGAGTTTCTGCTACTGAGCTGTGAAGCAAAGTTCTGTGCAACGTTAGGTGTACACTGATGCTCATAACATTAACCTCCTCACACTATTTTCACATGCTTTGCCTATGTTTATTGGCAGCCAGAGTTAATGTTGTCACTTGTCTTTACAAAACAATATTTGGTGATATGAGCTACTGGAGATTAACCCATCCATGTCTGTATGACTACCTTTTTTTTTATTCTCTTTGAGAATGATTTCCATAAAGACAGTGTATCATCTAGTTATGAAACTTTGGTGATAAATTAAGTATATTCAGTAATATCTTGAAGTAGTAATGAAAAACTTTATTTTTTCCAAATACCCAGAAAAAAAGACCCAGATATCGAAATGATAAACATAGCTTTGAAAGCAGAGTAAAGTTAATTGGTTCAACAATTATTTTTTCACACTAAATTTTAGAATCAATTAGCCTGAATTTACCCTGTTGTTTGTGTTAATAATGTCTCTTCTACTTCAGCTTTCCACAAACAGAACATATTTTTGCTAATAATGTAACAGAAATTCTTCAGGTTTGACTTAAATTCTTTCTTATATTATTGTAATCCACTGTACATTATGTACATGATGTAAACTTAATCTGTGTTAACTTAACATGCTGTAGACCTCAAATAGAAACGTTCATGGTTTTATTTGAGAACTAAGTTTTAGTTGTCTTTCTGAAATAAAAGCATGAAAGAATGGAGCGGGGAAAAAAAAAGAATTCAGAGCTCCCTAAACCATAGTCTTTTTTTTTTTTTTTAATAGATGTATTTCAAAACCTGTTAGTGCTAGAACTTTAGTTCTCTGGTAGAGAACTACAACCTAATTTTGGACATCTAATTTTGCTTTCTACTTAGACTCTATATTGTTAGTAGAGCCTCTGCAGGGCCTTTCAGAGCCCTAAACTGATCTCGTCAACAAGAATCATAGAATCATACAGTAGTTTGTGTTGGAAGAAACCTTTAAAGTTCATCTAGTCCAACCACCCTTCAGTGAGCAGGGACATCTTCTGCTAGATCACGTTGCTCAGAGCCCCGTCCAACCTGACCTGGAATGTTTCCAGGGATGGGGCATCTACCACCTCTCTGGGTAACCTGTGCCAGTGGTTCACCACCCTCGTTGTGACAAATTTCTTCCTTATATCTAGTCTGAATCTACCCTCTTTTAGTTTAAAACCATTACCCCTCGTCCTATTGCAACTAGCCCCGCTCAAAAGTCTGTCCCCATTTTTCTTAGAAGCCCCCTTTAAGTACTGGAAGGCTGCAGTAAGGTCTCACCAGAACCTTCTCTTCTCCAGGCTGAACAACCCCAACTCTCTCAGCCTGTCCTCATGGGAGAGGTGTTCCATCCCTCTGATCATTTTTGTGGCCTCCTCTTGACCCCTTCCAACAGGTCCATGTCTTTCCTGTGCTGAGGGCTCCAGAGCTGCATGCAGGACTCCAGGTGGGGTCTCACCAGAGCAGAGTAGAGGGTCAGAATTCCCTCCCTCGACCTGCTGGCTACGCTTCTTTGGATGCAGCCCAGGATACAGTTGTTTTAGGGTTTTTTGCAAATTATATACAACATTTGCACTGATAAAAAGTCTTCCTATCTGGAAGCTGATGTAAGTATTCAGATTCACTTCCATATGTGTTTCTGCACATGTAAAAGGGAGTGTGAAATCAGTGTATATTTGGAAGTGTAACCTTCTCAGTTAGGATTCTGTTTGAGACTTGAAGCTCAAAGCTTGTGTTACAAGCCACTTTCTTTGTTGCAGTTAACAGGCACAGTGAGCATTCAATATGCACCACTTTGTCCTACCTTGTAGGACATGAACTGAGAGTGCTGTTGACTGCTTAAATACTGCTAAACATACTCCGCATGATTCTTCCACTTACAAGAGGGATTGGAAGTCTTTGCTCATCTTTTGCAGTTGTTCTTCCCCTTGTGCTACCTGGTCAGAACAGCTAGAACTCAAGCAGCACCTAAATGGTTCAAACTAAGAATTAAGTTGTGATGAATGAAATGCAGTATGTCCATTAAAAACCCAAGTAGTTAATGATCTTGTTCATCTTTGTACCCTAAGCCCATATTACCTGTAAAAGTATCTTGGAATTTTTATAGCTTCTTTCATTGATGGCGGTGGTGGGTTTCTGTTTGTCTGCCTGAGGGAGGTGGGTTTGAAAGCCTGGAACAGATGAAATATTTTCTGCTCTAGGAGTTTTGTGATCATACTTCTGAACTTTGAAAAGTTCATACATTTTAAAGTCTGTAACTCAGCTCATTGTTATTTAACCTAGGGATGTGTTTCATTATTTAGAAGTCTCATGTTAGTCTCTTACATGTTCAGGTAGGGATTTGTGCAGGAATCCACAGCTATCAGATATTGATATGTATTGTCTTATTGCAAGATAGAGTTGTCCAGGTTCTTCAGGCATTCTCTGTAATATCTATGAATCTAGGCACTCAAATATTTCTTCACTACAGATAAAGTATTCTAACCAGTGCTGGCCATCTATACGTTTTGTGGTTATTGTAGCCTTAGTTAATATCACAGCTGTTATAGTTAATGTGTAGTCACAAAAGGAGTTCAGAGTAGTAGGGGTGTCCATACTTAAATAAGAATGAACTTAAATAATTTGTTTTTCAGCATCTCTTACAGTATTCAGTTTATGAGTTTTCATTTTCTGTTTTTTCGTAAACTTGTTGGAGGCCATATTTGCAGTAGTGGGCTACAGGATGAAAAGTTAATCTTTTTTTTTTTTAACTGACTACCTCTAGTATTCCTTTTAAGATATAGAAGATACTTGGATATAGAAGGTAGTTGTGCTGGTTTGTTCACTTCAACCAAAATAAGAATGTGAGCTGCAGCTTTCTTAACAACAGTTATATGTTGCTCTGTCAGAGTCCCAATACTCTCTGACCAGGTTATTTTAGATATTCCATGCATGGAGGGTGTCATGATCAAATTTACTTAGTTGAAGACAGTTGATGTTACATGGGATTTCTGATTTAGTGATACAAAATACACCGAAAACTTGAATCAAATGTAAGTTACACTTAGCAAAATATAGCAATTGCAGTACACAGTTTAGTCATAATACCAGTGTGATTCCCATTACCAGTCTCTATAATATACTCACCATCACAATGCTGGGCATCCCCACTTGCCAGGAAGGAATACGTTGGTTGAAACCAGCTCCAGCCCATTGCTCTCTTCCAAATTCTTTTGTTAGTTGTGTAGTTTTACACTCTGCCTGGGCTGAGCTATGTATTCACTCCCTACATGCTGGTCTGGCTAACTCAGGGAGATATTCACGCTCTTTTAATGAACTCAAGGAGAAAAACGGGTTGATCTGCTCAACTGCTCATTACTGTTTATCCAAAACAAAGGTCACCCTTTGTGTTGCGATAAGGTCAGCTTCTTTGCATTATTCCATGAGCTTCATGGGCACATCCACTTGCCCATCTCCACCAGGGATCTTTCATTATAGGGGTTTGTTCAGTGAGTCATGTTCCACCCCTTGGGGTTTAGTCTGTCACAAGCTCTGTGACATCTAACACTGGTTGTGGACTGGAAGCACCTTAAGCTGATCATTCTGTAAATGCAGAACCATAGGCTAAGTCCTGAACCAAAAAAAATTATTTAAACACAAGATAAAGGGTGGGGAAAAAGGATATAGGCTGATGTGGGAGGGGGAATGCAAGGAAATAAGTCAATAAGTAAAACTGTGTTTCAAGTTTCATTGTTCAGATACGGTTCATGATGGAATTTCACTTAGATCTTCCCACAAATATAAGAAAAGCAACAAGGTCTGCCAGTATATAATATGTGTTTTGACATTTACTGCTTTTGCTCTCTCCTAGGATAAAGTAATGAGCCACTGTTTCTTGAAACAAGCAGGTTTGGTTAAATGGTTGCTTAAAGAATAATTTCTATATATGATGTCATTATCTGAAAAAAAATATATGAAGAAAGGAGTTGTTTCTCTGGAAATAGAGGTATTTAGTTTAAATAAGATAAAAAGTAATTTTTCTCACTAGGAGAGTTTTGCAAATACTCTGTGATAAAGGACATAAATTTAGCAGAGTATGAACTTGCCTATATCACTAAGCATATTTGTCTTTTATCCAAGCAAAATCAAATCCAAAACATAGCATCACATAAGCTACTATGAAGAAAATTAACTCTATCCCAGCCATAAGCCAGTACATGAGTGCAACAAAAATACTTAAATCTATTTACTAGATTTAAGGATCAAGAATTTCTTTGGTTAAGAAAAATTCTGCCTTAAAGCTTCTGAGGTCCAGGAGCTATACTGTTACCATCAATACGTGGGACAGGAGTGGCGGGAATGCATTAGTTTTGTCCATTTCCAAGGCATTTCTCTTGTTCTCTGCTTGGCCTCCTATTTTCTAATACCAATCGTTAATATCCAATATAGTTTTACTTTGAAACACTATGGGTTCTGAAAAATATATAGAGAAATACCAGATAACAGTATTTGCTACTTGAATTACAGTCCCTTTTGCATTTCCGTAAACTAAACTTACAAATTAAAAACTTCAAGTTCTTACTGACTTATTTACTTTTATGAGCTTTCTTTGATTAACGGTCACCAAATACTTGCTCTGAGTGAAAATGTACAGGTGTTGAAAGAAATTCCCAATAATCTAGTGGTTTAGAAGTGGTTCTTGCTGAGCATCTGGTAATAAAATATGATTGTGCTGTAGTTGGTGATTTTTTCTAAAGAAAAATTATCCCTTTGACCATGCATATTTCTTGGAAATCTTGTTTTTGACTGCAGCAATTCAAGATTCAAATTTCAGTGGTACAACTGTAAAAGAATCTTTCAGTCTGTCTTGCCTTTTTTTTATAATCAGTGCTCCTTTGGGTTTTTTTTCCCTTTTTGCTGTAGATTTTTTTATTGTGTTTACAGATATTCTGAATGCAATATATTTTAATAAAGGTAATCATACAATAGGAAAATTGCACTTTTTACCAGGTAGAGCCTTAGAGCAGGGCAGGTGGTTTTATTGATCCCCTTCAATTTTCAGTACCTAATACGTGTTTTATGAGAGTGTATGCACCTCAGTTTTCCAGTCTCAAGAGTTCCAGTTCAGGAAGTTATTTCTGCATATGTGAAGCCTACTGATATGAAAAAAAAAAAAATCTGTAACTGTTTGTGTAGTTTGGATGTGTCCTTGGGTCTCCCATTAGGCATTTTTGGTCCACAGAGTTTCTCTTGCAGAATTTCCAGTTTGGTTTCCTCTGAGAGGTTTTAAGATGCACAAACTTTAATCCTATAATCCTGAAGTAGCATGAAGTCGGGAGAATACAGATTTATTTCAATGGCACAGTAATGTTCCCAACCATAATGTTATGGAAAATATGGTCATCTAAGGAGGGATTTTGAGAAGACTCCATGAAAAATAGGCTTTATATTAACCATAACTTTCTGACACCATTAAGTCTGAGTTTCAAGTAGAAAAAATGGAAAGGAAGTCATTACGGTTTCAAATTAAAGCACTTAAATGCATATGTTTTCACTACCATTCCCCAGTTGTGGAGATTGGGGAGCAGAGTGTTACACTTTTGAGAGATTGTCTCTTATGATAGTTTTGCGTATTGCTTCGTATGTAATACATATGGCAGTAGTTATTCTTGCCATTATAATAGTTGAAAATACGAAGTGAGAAAAGATATGTTAGATATAATACTGACTTCTGGGTGCTTGGACAAGCTTGATGTCAATATTTTTCATTAATGCATTGTTTGAACTTCTCTGTGAAGTATATAGGTGTCTATACCTTGTGAGATTTGGTTATAATAAGAAAACTAGTGTGACATTTTCTGCAAGACATTCCCAGTTAAAATTTTTTTTCCAATTTCTTTTGATAGTCATATGGTTTAGTTTTAGGTGGTCCTGCGAGGAGCAGGGAGTTGGACTTGATGGTTCTTATGGGTCCCTTCCAACTTTAGATATTCTATGATTTTCCTTTGGTTTCCCTCATCAAAAGTCTTGGCTTTTTCCCAAATGGTTAACTGTAAAAGATAGTTTAGTGCTCTAAAAGAATTAAATAAAGGGACTAATATTTGTATATAGATTATAGTAATACTACCCACTAAAATGTGACTTTTCAATTATTGATTATTAGATATCAGTGAAAAATAACTCAGCTGAGTAACAATTTTTTTATTACTCATTCAAATGAGCAATACTGCATGAATCTGTCTTCTATTTTAATGGGAAATAGTAATCACACATTTCAACATAATAAGTTGCAGTCTGTTCTTAATATTGGTACACTTTAAATCTGTTGATTAAAAGTCTAAAACTTGCTCCAAATGTCTTCTGTAAAAGTATCCTATTTCTACTACCAATGTAATTGCTTCAGAAACTGATTCAGAGTTCACCGAATAGTTGTTGCTATGATGCAGTAATTCATCACGTAGAAGATTTTCCTGCTCTGTCAGGTAAAAGACTGTCATTGTAGGCCCTATAAGCGTATTTAAAAAGTGAATATAATTAACTGTCATTTTAGCGTTATAGCCATGTGTTGGTCTAATGCAGTTAAATGGAATTGCTGTGTTGGTGCATTGGGCTAAGTCTCTTGTTTTCTGTTTAGTTATTTAGTTATTCCTAATGGTTATACCACGTTCTCTTAAGGTTTGGTTGTGGGGGGGGGTTTAAATAAGATACAGAAATTATATCTCTTCTGAGATAGGTTTTTAGATATAGAATGTAGATAATTAACTGTTGTAGTATTTCTGAGGTCTATAAAAAACAAATATTTTTGTCCTAAATGTTATGTAAAGGTAGTGCACACTTAGGTAGCCCTACCAAGTACTTCTTAGGTTTCAAATAAACTTCTGTAGTAAAATTCTGCCACTCTTTGAACAGATTTCTTTACAGGTGATATCCTATGGTATTTAAAAATATTTTAATAAGACTGCTTCAGGAGAAACTGCATTTGCATTGAAAACTCTGAGGACACTTACATGAAAACACTCTTTGTTCTTAGGCTTTTAGAAATCACATGTCCTTCATCAGTTTTTCTTTAGAATATTTTCCATTAGTATAGTTTATTTCATAGATTGAATGCTAATGGTTTCTCTTATGTGATTTTCACTACTAATTCATTTTGGAGCAGAGAGGTGCTCAAAGCTACATTTAAAGCTTTTTGACTAATCTGAGAAATGGATGCAGTGTTTTCATGTACTACTCTCTGTCTTCTATTTGCATTTTAGTTTGGAAATTTCTCTAATGAAGAAAAATGAGGGACCCCGGTGGCCAGAGCTAATAGTTGGTGACACAAGAGGGGAATTCATTATAGACTCTTCCCAACGCTCTGAAATAACTGAAAGCCTGATGCATCTTACCTCTGAAGTAATGGTAAGGAGTTGAAAAATAAAACATTTAAAATTTTTGTACATTTACTTGTTGTCTTCTCTTGATATCCTAATTTGCACTTCATTGACATATCTCATCAGTTCATTTACTATTCAGAATCCTAACTCTACATTCAGTTTTAGCTGAAATTGTTAACAAACTAATGTCACCAGAGTTGTGAATATACTTTGAACAGTAACATCATCTTCATGGGGGACTGAATTTAGCTTACAAAACATAAGTCTGATTTAACACTGAAAATAAATTTTTTCCCCACCACTTATGGTGTGGCAGTTTGTTTTAAAGCAGTTGATTTAAGTAATTTTGAAGGATGTCTGTTTCCTGTTTATCAGTAGGTTAGCAACACTTATATCATCTTCCTAGGGATATTGTACTTGACTGACAGACTGTGAGTGTAAATGACACTTTAAAAAGGAAAATTTAGGAAAATGTAACCATGACTCATGAACTTTTGGGCATTAGTGTTTTACAGGAATTCTACGTAAAACAAAAGAAAATGTAACTTTTAACTGCTGTTTGCTTGATTCTTCCACTTTTGGTTTAGTTAGAAAATGGCATCTCCTCTGTGAATTGTGACTCCCTATGGGTCTTGATATATTAAGTTTGGATTATTACTTTTTTTTAATAAGGCTGAAAAGTGTTATTAAATTAAATTCTATTTAGTGCTTTAAGTTGATTTCCCTCCTCTCTCCCTCACTATTTGTGGGCAAGACTTCGTAGTACATCTTTTAACCATAGATTTATTGGGAACTTCAAATTTCTTTTCTTTTGCAACTCATACTGAGCTTAAAGTGATGATTTATTTTTTTTATTGTCACAACTTTTCAGCTTGTGTGCAATAATGATCATGTAAAAAAAAAATCTCTCCTTAGGTAACTTTATTTAAATACATGTTACGTGTTTTGTTATACTGCAACTTTAGCTACATATGTATATTAAAGGCATGTATTCTTTTTGGTTGTTTCAATTGTTTGTGTAATAATGTTTACTTGGAAGGTTTTTTTAAAAGGCACCTGATGAAACAGTAAACCAGAGACCATGGAGAATGCTTGGTAGAGGTGAACCCCAAAGTCTAGCTGCTAAAGAGACACATACCCTGTTTTAAGTCTTGTGCATTAGCCTGCATTATATGACAATTAATTTTCCTAGTTTGTCAATTAAGAACATTTCTTTGTTATCTCTTCATGTTTTTTTTTGTTTGAATTTAAATTGTCTTAGCAATTAAAAAAAAAAGTTGGTCTGATCTCCTTCAAGTTTGTGGACTGAACCAAAATAAAGGTTCTTAATCAGCTGAAATAGATGAAGAAATGAGCACAGGAACTCAAGAACTCCTCCCTGTCAGATGAATTGAGTCAGTGGTCTGTCTGATCTTTCCTTACACATTGTGTTTGGCCTCAGCTTTCAGCTTATATTGGTTGTCAAGATGGTATCTTTTTTGTGCAAGAAGCAACATTAATTCATACTTAATGAGGAAGTGTATATTTCTGCCTTCTGTTAAATAAAGGTCTCTCTCTGAAATTCTTTAAGTATGTCACAAAAGTAACATAGCTTGGCTCTTTTGAAAATTATCCAGGGAAGATGTCATTAGCAGAAGTAAGCTGTCTCTGTACACAGTACTGTTACATCTTGATCTTGAATTACTAGTAAAAGTGATGCTTTTTCATTTCTTTAACTTGTGGAATGTAAAAAAAAATGTGCTTTTTTTTTTTGCTTTAAGTGCCTTGAAAAATATGCATAACAACATTATTAATGTTAAATAATGATTAGCAAAGCTAGAAGGAGGCACGTATTGAGAGCTACTTACAAAATGAATTAATCCATTTTTAATAGCCTTTCCAATAGCAATCCAAAAGAAGCTTACACTGATGTAAAGTTATGAAACCTGCATAGGTTTTCAGGATTGTGTACTTTTCCTGCTTACAGAAGGGAATTTATTGTCCCTGTTTTAGTGGCTTACATACCTTTCCTTAAACTGAAATGGATTTTGTTGTACCTACCACTCAGCTCTCCTTCACAACAGAAATGGTTCTGTTCATTTTGAATAAGTATATAATAGCTTGATCTTTAAGTATGTAAGGGTATGCAAATGATTCTTCCTGTTCTATTGAACTTTTTTTGTTATGAAAAGGGATTTTTTTATACTTTCGTATGTATATATTCAGTAGCTCAGATTTTCAGTGTAGTTCATTGTCTTTTTATTTCAGAATCCAAACCCTGAAAAGGAAAGCCCACCTTGTAATGCTCAAGAATTAGAAGAATGTGATGCTTTTCTTGAGGATAGTGCAAGCTTGTGCAGATTTGATGGTGATACCTTGAAAGTCACTCACGTAGTAAGTCTTACAAATTATTACAGAAGTATTTTAAGACACTTTTTATGATACACAAGTTGAATTGTATTATCAGAACAAATATCTGTGCAAATTCTTGAAACCACATAAATTTCTTCCATAATGTAAAATCACAGTAGCAACAGAAATTATCAACCCATATGTGTTCTTCAATGTCATTTTAATATAAAACCAAGGCTCCTTTTATTCTGATTTAAAAAATATATATACTTTCACAAGTGAGACATTTTTTCAAAGTGAAGTTATGTCAGAATAATTATAAGAAAGGGGTCTTTTGGCATAAAATTCTTCTAGATTCCTTAGCTTGCATTTTTCTCAGTAACTTTTCATATATCCTGATAGAAAGTTGACTTCCTTTTATTAAGGAGTGGGAGCATAGATCAGTTTACGATACTTGGTTGTCAGTCACACTGGAAATAAGAGGTTATAAGCAAAGTACTTCAACAGGAGGCTTGATCTGGGTTGTAAGCGACCTTCACTAACAGTAAGTTAGGACTTGGTCTGGTCCATTGGCTAATGCAGGAAACAAAACAACCATATGAAAGCATCAAAGATTAAGTTGTCATCATGGTTTTTTTTCCAAGGTGTCTCTACTAAGCTTGTAATAACCGTTGGTGTTGCACCTTATCCCTAACTTGTGGCATTGTGGCATTCAAAGTACGTATGAGGATAACGTGTTTTGTACAGAAAATATCATACTAACAGTGTAAGATTTTGAATGGGTTCATAATTTCCTGTTTCCTCAGAAAAGCTCTAGAAAAAGTTTTCAGTCTATGTCTTACAGATCTTGGTTTGTTCTTTTTTTTTTTTTTTTTAAATTATCTATGTCTCTTTTCCTTTGGTGTAGTACAGATACATATGGGTGTAATACAGATACATGTGTATAGGTATATGTCTGCATATGTGTGTGTGCATATGTGTAAGTATGCCTGTACATGCATCTGTGCTGCCAAAGAAAAAAAGATTGATTCTTGTTCCACCAAGAAAGTAGTCTGTTTTGTGGATACATTGTGATAGATAATATTTGTTAGAAGGTAAAATCTGTAATTGGTAGGAGGACATTTTATAGCGACTCAGTTCAAATGGATTTTAGCTGTTCATTGATGCATAGT